ATTCAACTGGCTGTGTCCTACCCTTAATATTGTAAATATAGCCTCCTCTCTTTTGTCCCTTCCTGCCGTCCTCCCCGACTTGCCTCTGTACTTGAAATAAATGCCTTCCCTTAATATTTATATTCCACTGCTCCTGCCATCTCTGCACCATCACTGTATATATCAGTCTTTTTGCCTCTGCCTTGCTCATTGACACTTCAACATCAACATCCCCACTACTAACTGCTTGTTTAGCCAGTACATCAACTGCCTCGTTCCCCTCCACCACCACATGGGCTGTGACCCAAGTAAATCTTATCTGTATATCCATCTGTCTAATCCTGCCATGGGTTTGTAGCACCTCATAAAGTAGGTATTGTCTGCTACATCAGCTAAAGGACTGGAGACTCATTAACACTGCGCATGAGTCAGAGCAAATAACTACTCTGTCTGGCTTTACTTCCTCCATCCACTGCAAGGCCGACAGTATGGCCATCAGCTCTGCCGTATATATACAGCCAGATGATCTGTAATACGTTTCCTGACTTCCACCCCTCATTCCTGCACTACAAATGCTGACCCAGTACGTCCTGTCCTTGGATCTTTTGAACCATCTGTGTAAATGGCCACAAAATCCTGATACACAGTTTCCAGACGTCTCTTAAAGAAATCAGCTGGATCAACCCCCTCCCTATCTTTCTGTAGTCTCTCCAACACTTCTAGATCAACTACTGGAGGCGGGAGTAGCCATGGTGGATTTACAGGAATAACTCCCGTTGGACTAAACTCCCTTCCATACAGTCCCATCTCCTTCGCCTGGGTATTACCCACCCAAAGCTCGTGTTCTGTCTTCGCTCATGTTCCCAGCATGCCTGTAAAATCCCTTTCACAGGATGAGACACCCCATGTCCCTGTAGGTTGACCCAATAATTCATTGCCAGCTGCTGTCTCCTAATTTGCAATGGCATATCCCCCATCTCCACCTGTAATGCAGCCCCTGGGGACGTTCAAAACGCCCCACTACATATTCTGAGTCCTTGCCCCTGTATGACATCTAGCCTTTCCAGTGAGGTCCGGGCTGCCGAACCATACGCTATACTGCCATAGTCTATTACAGATCGGATCAATGCAACATACATGGTCTTCAATGAGGAACGCCCAGCCCCCCACTCCTTCCCCGTCAGACAGCGCATCACATTTAGCACCTTCTTACACTTTCCCACCACTCTCTCAATGTGTTCTGCCCAGGTCAGTCTAGTATCAAAGTATACCCTCTCCAGGTTTCTCCAATATAACCTCAAGGATACCTCATCTCCTACCTTCCTCCTGGTAAAGAACACTGTTTGAGTTCTCTCTACAGAGAACCTGAATCCCCACATTAATGCCCAGCGCTCTACCTCATCAATTGCTTCCTGCACCTTCCTGACTATGTATGGCACATTTCTTCCCATCTTCCATAAGACACCATCATCTGCAAATTACGACCTCCCTATATCCAGCTGTACCTGAGAGTAAACATCATTGATCATGATTGAGAACAACAGAGGACTAATCACGCTCCCCTGCGGTGTACCGTTATCCACCAAGTAGCTGCCTGATAAAGACCCACCCTCACATGGATAGACCTTCCAAACAGGAAATCCTTTATCCAGTTGTACATTCTTCCTCCTACCCCCATAATATTAAGCTTGATTAACAACCTCTCCTTCCACATCATATCATACGCCTTCTCCACATCAGAAAAGACAGCTACAACAGTCTCCTTGTTCACCTGAGCCTTCCTGACCTCTGCTTATAAGTAGAGCACTGGATCCATAGTTCCCCTACCCTTCCTGAACCCACTCTGATGTGGCGTTACTAGCCCTCTGATCTCCAGGAAGTAAGTCAGCCTCTCCGTAATCATACGTTCCATAATCTTACATACATGTGATGTTAAAGCTATTGGCCGATAGCTTGTTGGCTTTGTTGGATCCTTCCCTGGCTTCCGGATTGGTACCACTACTGCCTCCTTCCAACTGCCTGGTAGTTTCCCCTCCTCCCACACTCTGTTGTACAACACCAATACCTTATCCAGTGCCTCATCACTAAGATGGGCCAACATCACATAGCACACCTCATCTTTCCCAGGTGAAGTTAACCCTCCCTTACCTATTGCTCTTTTCACCTCTGCCCTGGTAAATGGTGCACTCAACGCATCATTTACATCCTCCCTCCTTTCCAGCACTCCAGGATGCTCCTCTCTCGTGTTCTCTCTCCCCCTCTGCCCCTCCTTTGACAGATTTGCTGAGCTATGCACTTGGACAAACGCTTTGGCCATCATCTCTGCTTTCTCCTCATCTGTTACTGCCATATCATCCCCACTCGTCAACACTGGATAATCCCACTCCCTTCTGACCCCACTCATCTTCTTAATCATCCCCCACACTTCTCCCACAGGTGTCGCCCTTCCAATGGTGTCACGGAACCGATGCCAACATGACCTCTTTGCCTGACGGATAGTTCTCCTCACCAGGGCCTGGACCTGCTTATATTGAATCAGATGTTGGAAATTATGCATCCTTTTCAGTACTCTAAATGCCCTGTTCCTAATCCTCACCATTTCCCCACACTCCTCCGTCCACCATGGAACTGCTTTCCTCCTCCCTGAACTCTTAGGTATAGCCTCAGTAGCTGCCCCCACTAACGCTGTTCTCACCCAGTTATTCATACTATCTACATCCCCTCTCATATCCACCCGAGCCATCACCTGCTCACTCTGCTCCTGAAACTGATCCCACTTTGCCCTTCCAAACACCCACCTGCCTACTCCATCCACTAACACCTCCTCCTCCCTCCGGCCTACTGTACATACAATGGGGTAATGATCACTCCCTACTTTCGACTCCTCCCATACCTCCCACTCACATATTCCTGCCATCACACTAGATACCAGAGTGAGGTCCAAGGCAGACTCTTTCCCTGTGGCTACATCAATCCTGGTCCCTCAGCCATCATTCAGGCACACCAGATCTTTCATTTCTATCAGATTTTCCATCACTTGGTCATTTCCATCCATCCGTTTCCCCCCCAGAGCGTGTTGTGGGTATTAAAATCCCCACACCACATTACTCTTTCCTGGCCCTCCACCCTCTCCAGCACTTCCAGGTCCAATATCTGACACAGATTATAATAGTTCACTACCACTAGCATCCCTCCTCTCAACCACACCTCCACCACCACATATTCCTGTTCAATACCTTTGCCTAGCATCCTGTAGGGAAGTCCTTGCTTTATGAAGGTGGCACATCCCCCCCCTCCCCCTATATCTCGGTCCCTATGAACCACTACATATCCCTGTATGATAAACTCCACATTCGGTTTGAGCCATGTTTCCTGCACACAAATCACATCCGGCTTAGCTAGCATATCAACAATGAACTGCTTGAATTCCTGCCCATTAGCCAACAGGCTTCGAGCATTCCTTTGTAGTACTACCACCTTAACTAAGATCCAGTAATACATGACTCCACCATTGGCTGATTGAGGTAATCTCGTACCTCTTCCCATGTCAACCCTGTCATATTCAAATGTCTCCCAGCAGCTTTCACTATTAGTTTAATCCTCTCCGTTTTAGACTCTACTTTATCGGTGCTATTGATAGCTCCTGCTATGAACGTCACCAGCTTTCTCTTTTCTATGTATACCATATCACTGCCCACCTGCCCCGTAATCCCCAGTCTAGATGCTCCTATCCTTCTCTCCCTTGAACCTATATCTCCCTGGACCTGGACCACCCTCACTGCCTCAGCATATGACACCCTTCTCTCCTGGACCACCCTCACTGCCTCAGCATACAACACCCTTCTCTCCTGGACCACCCTCACTGCCTCAGCATATGATACCCTTCTCTCCACTTTCACTTGTTGCACCTCCACTGCCTTCTTCATAGCCTCACACCCACTATATGCCACACTATGAGCACCCCCACAGTTGCAGCACTTTGGTTGTCCACCATCTCCACACTTCCCATACTCATGCTCCCCTCCACACCTGGCACACCTCTTTTTCTCTTTACAGACTGTTGCCACATGCCCAAACCTCTGGCATTTATAACATCTTAAAGGTTTCAGTACATAAGCCCTCACATAGTAACTCATATATCCTATTGTTACCTTATTTGGCATTACCGAGTCCTTAAAATTTAACAGAATAGACGCGCTGTCTACCCTATCTCCATCCCTTGTTGCTTGCAATCTTTGTGCATTCACTAAAACGCCCTGATCTCTTTAGTGCTAACACTCACATGCACTCCTGTTATCACCCCTTTACTCCACTGCTTCCCTGCCTGGTCAGACCAGCTGCCCGACACCACCTTACACTTCCCTATTTGCTTCACTCCGATAGCTTTTTCCCCTTGCGCCATGTCCTTACAGAACACCAACAAGCTCCCATCTCGTAACAGTTTAGCATTAACAACTTCCCCAATCAACTATTTTATCACAGCCGTCAACCTTATCGGACTCATCGCCCCAACTCCCCCTTCCTCCCTAAACTTCACAATCACTTTATGCTCCTCCTCACCTCCATGTTCCTCTCGTGTCTCATCTTGCCCTTCCTCTGCACTTTCTGCCTCCGAACTTCCACTATCGTTGGAATCTAGGTTGCTCTCCTCAAACTTCCTTTTCTGCCTCCTCTCTACCTCCATAGAACTCTCGCTCTCCTTCGTACCCCTACTCCCTTTCTCTCCCGCTTTCTTTTCCTCTTTCTTACTCCCTCCTTTATTTCTACCACTATGTTCCATACTTGCTTCCCTCTCCTCTCCTCTCCTCTCCTCTCATCACTATCTCCTATCATCTCTGACCCATTCGCAGCACCGCAGTGAGCCTCCGCCGTGGTCATATGACATTAGAACGTTTCTGCTTTTATTCGTCGCGTTTTACACGAAGCACAGCATTTCTATCCAATCCGAGATCGATAGTTCCATCTGACGAATCAGGCTGCTGCAAACAAGTCCACTAATGATGACGTACAAACATGCGTGTGCTCTTCAGAGGCGATGTTGAGGTGAGGAATGAGTTTCAATGTTTATGTTTTTACTGAATAAAGTAATGATCTTTCCATGCAATAATATTAACAAAAAGTAAGCATTCCATTTTGTTTGCCAATCATTTGTTTTACATTTGTCATATTATCGATTAGTTTGTCATTTTTCTAAGGTTGATACTTAGGTAATATTTTAAGGAGACCTCTACGATTTGTCATTGCAGGATTGTTCCTAGAATCTTCTCACTACTACAAACTCAAAACTGCGTGAAATCTCGCTATCGATACCGGACCCTGTGTTCAGCGGTCCTGCAGCCGGATCGAGCATCAACTTGTCCTGTGAGTGTTTCGAAGCCGATGCTTGGGCAGCAACAACACAGCGGGATGGATCCCAGCCTATACACAGCTCCTCCTGAGGTCCGAGGTATGACCTGTTTGGATAAAGAAGTCTTCTCCCAGACAGTTATTGTCCCAGCCCTGCGTGTGCCAAAAGAAGTCCTGAATAAATTGGTAAAGAGCCTGAAAAAAGTAGCACTTCAGCGCCCGGGCATACGAAGAGTGGTGGAGGTCGAAGGCAGCGATGACGACAGGCTCTTGTTGCTGGACCCTGCCAGTGTCTCCTCACCCAGCTCATTCAGCGACGCAGAGGCCGAGGTGTTGCGGTCATTTGGAGTACCTCAAGAGCTCCAGCGGTACGAGCTGCGGCTGACCTACGACAACCTAAAGAGTGAGGAAGTTCTGCGTGCTGTGCTGCCAGAAGGACAGGACGTCACCTCTGGGTTTAGTCGAGTGGGTCACATTGCGCACATGAACCTGCGGGAGCACCAGCTGCCCTACAGAAACCTCATAGGTGAGAGCGCCACAAACATAATGTACTGTTCTGCATCACAATAAATGTAGTACAATTTGTCAGAAGACTGACACAGGCATGGGTAACAGTGATGCTGTTGACAGGTCATTATGTATTTTATGCTCTCTTGAATCCCTGACCACACTCCCAGGATTGTATTTCCTGAGTGGTCAATTAGCTACAGATGAAATACGTTAAGTGTGTGTGAGGAAAACGATAGTGCTGATTCATTTTGTTTTACTGACATGATGCAGTCTTGCTGTCTGCTGTTGCAAATCCATTTCCAGGCCAAGTCATAATGGATAAGAACCCTGGGGTGACCTGTGTGGTCAATAAGACCAACACCATCGACTCCGCCTACCGCAACTTCAAGATGGAGGTGATGGCTGGAGAGGAAAACATGGTGGCCAAAGTAAGTCCTATGAGATTGTGCTTTTGATTAAATATATTTTCTAATGAAATCAGAGGCGTGGGCATTGCATTCATCCCTTATATCCTCCCTCTCACTCGCTCTGTTGCAGGTGCGTGAGAACGGCTTGACGTACGAGTTTGATTTCTCCAGTGTGTATTGGAACCCTCGTCTTAGCACGGAGCATGAGCGTGTGGTGGCCCTTCTGAAACGCGGTGACACTGTGCTGGATGTGTTCGCTGGCGTGGGTCCCTTTGCCATCCCCGCTGCCCGCCGTGGCTGCACTGTGCTGGCCAACGACCTCAACCCTGAGTCTCACCGCTGGCTGCAGCACAACTGCAAACTGAACAAGGTGGAGCGTAAGGTCACCACCTTTAACCTGGACGGCAGGGCCTTCATCCACGGGCCACTTAAGCAGGAGCTGCCTGTCATGATGAAGGGGACAGCCAGTGTGCATGTGGTCATGAACCTGCCTGCCTTGGCCCTGGAGTTCCTGGATGCCTTCAGAGGCTTGCTGGACCAGGGACTTTCCTGTGATGTGAATCTGCCGCAGGTGCACTGCTATGGGTTCTCTAAGAAAGACGACCCCCAGAAAGACGTGGTGGAAAGGGCCTCAGCCAGCCTGGGGTTCTCCCTAGAGGGGCTGTGCTCTGTGCATCTAGTGAGGAACGTGGCCCCCAACAAGGAGATGATGTGTGTGAGCTTCACCATCCCCAAAGAGGTTCTCTTCAGCAGTGAGAGCACACAGACAGGTGAGCTTTCATTCACACAGCACCAGTGTTGGGGTTAATTCCACAAATTCAATTCAAATCCCTCTCCCTGTAAATTCCATGTAATTCAATTCAAACTCCAGGTCAGTCTTTGAATTAAATTCCTCTCGATTCCAATCTTCGATATTATCCAACAATTTCCAATTCAATTCCCTCAGGTTTATCATGTCACTGTTCTGACAGCCTAGCTATATTGGAAATATAGAAATACAAGTTGAAATGATTTAAAACAAATCCTGCAGTCTATTTCTGATACTAAGTGCATTAATTCCATTAACTGGGAAATGTAAAAATATTAAATTCCAAAGATTAAATGTTTTTACAATTCAAACAGTCTAATTCCAATACAATAACTTGAAGATTGAATTTAATGTACATTCTCCACTTCATGAGTGAATTCAATCATTGAAATTTCAAATTTAATTGGAATTGGCCCCAACCCTGCACAGTACTCAACACACATGCTTGATTCATTCACTCGCTGAAAGACTGTAGACTGATAATACTAATACCATTTGTCCTCTCCTCAGAAGCCATAGAAGAACCAGCCCCAAAGAGACAGAAGTGTGAGGAGACAGATTGAATATATTTGACCAAGGAGGTCATTCTGAGACATTGAATTGTACATTTTATTTTTGATCTTGAATTCTGTTCATGCTATTTTATAGTAAAGTGTCAATGAGGCTGACATGATCTAAATCATGGTTATGCTTTGACCTAAAAAGAACATCCAAATGAGTATGTGTTGACTGTATTTCAAATACTGGTACCATTATCCAGGTCCAACAATTAGGGATTGTTTCAATAGTTTTCTTATCCAACAACTGGCTTCGTTATTTTTATTTAAAAAACACATAAGATCATACAAAAATGGCAACATATACACTACCGTTCAAACATTTGGGGTCACTTAGAAATGTCCTTGTTTTCGAAAGAAAAGCAATTTTGTCGTCCATTAAAATAACAAAATTGATCAGAAATACAGTATAGACATAGTTAATGTTGCAAATGGCTATTGTAGCTGGAAACGGCTGGTTTTTAATGGAATATCTACATAGGCGTACAGAGGCCCATTATCAGCAACCATCAGTCCTGTGTTCCAATGGCATGTTGTGTTTGCTAATCCAAGTTGATCATTTTAAAAAGGCTAATTGATCATTAGAAAACCCTTTTGAAATTATGTTAGCACAGCTGAAAACTGTTGTGCTGATTAAAGAAGCAATACAACTGGCCTTCTTGAGACTAGTTGAGTATCTGGAGCATCAGCAATTGTGGGTTTGATTTTAGGCTCAAAATGGCCAGAAACAAATAACTTTCTTCTGAAACCCGTCAGTCTATTCTTGTTCTGAGAAATGAAGGCTATTCCATGCGAGAAATTGCCAAGAAACGGAAGATCTCATACAACGCTGTGTACTACTCCCTTCACAGAACAGCGCAAACCGGCTCTAACCAGAATAGAAAGAGGAGTGGGAGGCCCCGGTGCACAACTGAGCAAGAGGACAAATAAATTAGTGTCTAGTTTGAGAAACAGATGCCTCACAGGTCCTCAACTGGCAGCTTCATTAAATAGTACCTGCAAAACACCAGTCTCAACGTCAACAGTGAAGAGGCGACTCCGGGATGCTGACCTTCTAGGCAGAGTTGCAAAGAAAAAGCCATATCTCAGACTGGCCAATAAAAGATTAAGATGGACAGTCTGAGATATGGCTTTTTCTTTGCAACTCTGCCTAGAAGGTCAGCATCCCGGAGTCGCCTCTTCACTGTTGACGTTGAGACTGGTGTTTCGCATGGAATAGCCTTCATTTCTCAGAACAAGAATAGACTGATGAGTTTCAGAAGAAAGTTCTTTGTTTCTGGCCATTTTGAGCCTGTAATCAAACCCACAATTGCTGATACTCCAGATACTCAACTAGTCTCAAGAAGGCCAGTTGTATTGCTTCTTTAAATCAGCACAACAGTTTTCAGCTGTGCTAACATAATTGCAAAAGGGTTTTCTAATGATCAATTAGCCTTTTAAAATGATAAACTTGGATTAGCAAACACAACGTGCCATTGGAACACAGGACTGATGGTTGCTGCAGTTTCCAGCTACAATAGCCATTTACAACATTAACAATGTCTACACTGTATTTCTGATCAATTTTATGTTATTTTAATGGACAAAAACATTGCTTTTCTATCGAAATCAAGGACATTTAAGTGACCCCAAACTTTTGAACGGTAGTGTACATCCTGGTCTGACTTCAGACCATAGTCCACAACAGTCTATGGCTCCCTCCACAATGTAGAGCAGGAGGGTCATTTGAGTCCTGTGATAATTGACAGCCTCATATTTCTGAGCTTCTGTGTCAGCCCAGTGGAGGGAAGAGCCCACTGAAGGCATCCTGGATGGCTTGATGACACGCTAGTCCTGAGTTGTATTCTCCAGCTATGTCCTGGGGTTCAGATACCTGCCAACAGAAAGAGAAAAGAAAAATGTCAGTTAAAATATAATTTTGCTACTAAGTTTACAGTATCGTAATGTCAACACCTATATTAGTCTACTATCCCCTCTCCAACATCCCTATATTAGCATCACTGCTACTAACTACTACTGTATATGTGATGTTAAGATCAATCGACAGTCTTCATAGGTGGTGAGGCCTTTAAAAATCACCCAGGCTACACTGGACCCAATGGCATTGATGCAGTTGATGTGAAGCGTTTGAGCATGGGTTGATTTTTATCCAAACACCCAATGTTTTTCTAGCCCTCCAGAATCCCCTCAGCCCCATATGAAGGCAGGAGTTTTTTATTTATTTTACCCTTATTTTACCAGGCACATTGACTGAGAACATATTCTCATTTACAGTAACGACCTGAGGAATAGTTACAGGGGAGAGGAAGGTAGACACAGTGCACCCCCCCAACCTCTTTCTCAAAGCTAAGGATCTGGATCACGTTCTGCACATGTGTTATTTTACGCACACATTCGTTTTTATAACGTAGCTGCTGCTCACACTCCCCCTCCCTTCACGTTTCACTCTTTACTCACCCTCTTCTGAAACATGATGTAGCCTGTCTCTCTGCCTCATATTTCTGAACAACTGAAATAAAAACCCTGCAGGTTTTATAAAGCGTATAACCTTTTCTGTCAGTCTGTTGTAATGGACATTGCAGTTGCACAAGCAGGATGCATTCCTTACACTTTGGAGTCAATGTTTTGTGTGATGATGTAGGCTAATCTTTAGTTGCTGCCATATCGTAGTTTCTGAAAATAAATCACACTATCTGACTGCCTCCTGTGCAGCTTAGCCAATGTTTGCAATGATGATGAATTGCTAATTAGACTGCGTGGCTGTGTCTTACTGCATTCCACCTCTGGGCAGCCGAACATTCTAGGCAGCCGAGCGTGTATCCGGACCGGTAAAAAGAGTCTGACAATGGGCGAGTTCATTTTGTATCGCCCAGTGCCATAGTTAGCTGCATGTAACTCGAACATGAAATCGCTAGACTGTCTGTGTCTTGCTTATGTTCAATACTGACAAAGTTTGTACGAACATGTCGATAATATATTTGAGTAAAACATGTAAATAGCTGCATGTAGCCTACTACCCTCCTTAAAAAAATAAACATGAAATCGCACTTATGCTTACTGAGACATGGAATGCAATAGTTTGAACAGTTGTGTACAACATTAAGTTTGTAGGCTACACCAGTGACCAGACAAAGGCGATCAAGGAGGGGGGAGCGGCAGCAGAGCACTCAGCACAGCAGCTATGTAGGCAGCAGAGTGGGCACATGGCTAAGTAAAAAAAAGAAATCCTGCACATGTGTAGAAATATCCATATTTTTTGCCTGGGCAAAGTGGGATACAGAAACTCTGTATCCGTAGCCACTCCATAGAGCATTATAGGTGTATTTTATTTAAGTGCTTACAGATGTAGCCCTAGCCCACCAAGGACCCCCTTTCAGCTTTTAAGAAGATGGCGAGTCACTGTTTATTTACACTCTGAGCTGTAGATGGAAAAACAGCCGAGCTGTCGACTACAGACCCTGGTCCGTGGTGACGGGTGCTCTTCCACTAGGGAAGGGAGGTGGGGGGGGCAAGGATGACCTGTAGCCCCACCCTCTCTAATCCTTCCTCCTCACACACACTCAGTCCTGGGCTGTCTGTCAGCTCAGTGGGCACTAGGGGAACGACTCTCCTCCCCTCTCCCCCCCCCCCTCTTGGCCTCCTTCACTGGGTTCTACAGTCTCTGGCTACTAAGCTAACATAGTCCTCAAGTGACTAAGGTCCAAAGAAACAAAGACAGCACACACTCACCCCCCTCCTTTCCCACACTCACAGACCCAGCAGAGAGGCTAAAGCCCCCACACGAGTCAGGCTTTGTGCCCCCTGTCCCTGAGAGCCACGGAAACTTCAAAGTGAAATAGGAAGCGAGAGCACAGACAGCCCTCTGTGATTTGTACTCCGGTTCGGTCTGCTTTACAGAGTAACCCAACACCTGTGGGGAGGCTCAGAGAGAGACTGGGACTGGGAGCGGGAGGGAGAAGGAGGTGTGTGTGTGGAATACGTGTGTTGGAGTATGTGTTTATGGAGCATTTATTTTTGGCAGTTTGCATGTGTACCTGTGTGTCTAACATTTTACATTGTTTTTCCTCAGATGAGTTTCCATGATATACAGTATATGGAAAATAGACTAATATCTAAAAATCAACTGCTAAGCATAATGTATACATGGTCATTAATATGGCATTTACTTATGTGCTTTGCATTTACATGAACAGAAAATGAATTCTAGCCATCAGTGGTTAAGTTCCAGACATAAGAAGAGAGGGCGGATTGGGTTTTGTACATAAAGACCACTCTTCACCCACTAGAGAAACAACACACAAGTCCAAAACAGGCGTCCCAGTGATTAATAATAACTTCATTAAGCACGAGCTCCTGTAGCCGGTCCTTCATGGCACACTTGAGGGAGGCCTTCTCCGATGGCTTCCTGCTCCTCTCCCCACAGCAGATGAGTGCAGTCTATTGATTATATTGTACTGGGCCTTTTTAACGGTGAAAAAGTGGTCTATTCCCAGTCCGGCTAAGTCTGCTCTTCCTGCTAATCTAATCCCCAAGCTACACATGTGGTCATTCCTTCCAAGAAAGCTGAGAGCTCTGTAACTTTATACCAGCCTGCCCCTAAGGAAGGAGAGGAGATGAAATAATGGGGGGAGAAGGAGAGAGAGATGGAGAGAGCAGGAGGATGTAGAGTGAAATCACCTTTGGGTATCATCACCAGCCAGTTCTACAGCCGTTAAACTAACAGTCTGTCTGCCCTCTGCTCCCCCCTAACGCCACCCGTTAGTTCAGTTCTGCTCCATTAACTCTGCTCCTGTAAGTGCATCTCCTCCCAAAGCTCTACTTTATACACACACCAGCAACGAATGCACACTAGTGCACACACACACACACTTCAGCAATCCATCACATTACCCTTCTCTTTAGCGAAAACAACACTGACTGTACTTGACACTGAACAAACAGACAGAGGAAGACTACAGACATACAATGAATAGACAAATATTTCACTCAGACTTTTTGTAGAACATTTGCATACAATTAAGTTTGGTACACACAGCGATAGACTGACTACTATACATACTGTGTGAATGAGACACTTAACAGTATAAACGGTGCACTGAACCAACTTTGACAAAGTTAGACTTACACCCCTCTCCCCCTACACCTCTCTCCACCCTCCTTCCCTCCCTCACCCCTCGTTCTTTTTCTCCCAGAGGACTGGCTGCCTTTTGTTCACAGGCCTCTGAAACCCAAGCCGTTTCGGCCGGCAACATCTTTCACTCTCCGGGCCCCACTGGAGCATTAGCTGCAACTCGATCTGGGCTTTTCAAAGCCTCCTGTTATTGGGTAAATATGGGTCACTTTGG